GGCGCGGCTGGGCCTCCCCGGCAGACGCGGGGCCCTCTCCCCTGCCATTGCATCTCGCCTCTCCCGCTTGCCGGGGCCCACCCCACCGCACCAGCCGGGGGAAGGGAACGCACGGCCGGAACCAACCAACCCCGCGGTCACCGCGACGCTGCCCGGGGCCCCGGTGTGCTCCTCTCCGTCCCCAGCGGTTTGTCACCCGCTGCTTTCACACCGCAGCCAGCGCTGCTGCCGCCCAGGCGACCCTTCCTGCTCTTCGTGACAGACTCCCGGCCCTTCGCACCCCGCGCCTCACGGAGCCTGCGTGAGGTTCTTCCAGGCAGGTGCGTGGCTTTTCACAGTATCCGATGGAAGTAAACTCACACCCACTTACTAGGCGTTAGCACCTTGCAGAATCATCCTTTTTGTCTTTTTAAAAATTTGACAGCTGCTTTCAGAGAATATTTTACTTTCAGAAGAATATCGCTTCTGCACTTTCCTCAGCTCATCTTCAGTTCCGAGTGATGTCGCAGAAAAGCAGGAACAACTTCTCCTTCCACAGTTACATAGCAAATTAAAAGTGGAAAAAAGAGTTACAGGGCAGGAAGCACATATTAATGGCTGTTACCGTGCTTGCGTTGCTGCTACTTTACCCCTGACCAGAGCGAGCGGTGATGCGCACAGGGGAAGGAGCCCACTGCCCGCTCCACGCTCCACCACAAGACCGGCACCCGGGGCCTTCCTGCGGGCGTGAGGGCGCGGCACGCCGCAGGAGTTCACCCAGGAACCAAAAATCAGTTCAAACTAAGTACTTTAAATCTCCTTCCCAGGTAACCAGGGCTCTTGCCTAAACCCCTTTTCTTTCAGAAGTGATTTCACAGACATCAGATCCCATGCACGCTTCAATAATTTACGGACTAGAGGGTAACAAATCATTTTCATGAATACCTGTAGCCTCCTACTAATAAATAATTAACTGTCTGCTCATTACCAGTACTGAGAATGAAAAAGCGTCAAATTTCACAAGGCAGGAATTTTTTTTAGCTTTTCACTGAACATCCTTACATATTTCAGGAATGCAAATAAGATTTGATGTATCAAGTGTTACAATATTAAGAAATTCCAACTAATAACATGACCAATAAAATTTATTAAACATTATATTTACAACTATTTACATATTCTTCCGTAGATTAATATTAAAATAGACAATGTACAATTTAAGAGTTTTCATTCAAAGGCATTTTGTTGGAAAAAATAGGCTCTATTACGAGACCACCATGTAAGAGCAAAAGTTTTTTTGTTTTACACAAAAATATTTTCAGTATAGCAAGTCATAGGGATGGCATTACAACAGCAGACGAATATGAAATATGACTAAGTATTACAATTGTTTAGGTATCAGTTACTGACGTAAAGGAGTTAAGAATTCTGTGAAGCATGCAGTACAGTTCAGTCTCAATTCTTTTACAGTTATGGTGATGAAACAAGCAGCTAAATTGAACACATGCCATACAAAAAAAGAACTCCCAACCAGGAACACACTACACTTAATAAAAACTACAACTTTGGTCCAATAAAACATTAGACAAAAACAGTTTTACAGTTAAAATATCTATTTTATACAGGTTTGAACATTAATTACAAGACTATTTACATTTGCACAATATGTATAAAATAAATTATTTAAAAATGAAGACAATATTACATCTTTTTCCAAAAAGAAAACTGTACAGTAATTTACAAAATATAATAAGATTAATAAACTATTTTCCCTCCAAGTCTTACATTTTCTTCCACAGGCTTTTTCATGATTTTTCTGTGGGAGTTCAACTGTTACTGAAGTTTCATAATACAAAGCTTTATAGCAGATTTTAAGTATCGTTTGTTTTTTGGTGGCTGTTTTAGTTATCAACAGCTTCCAGCGCTGTTAACTCACCATGTTTCGTCATCTTTTTCAGCAATAAGCTCTAAAGCTACAGGCAATTTTAAAATACAGATAATGGCAGTTACTGGGAAACTGACTTCAAAATTCACATCCATCTTCTGAGTTTGAACAAGAGCCCGTGCCACACTCCTCTGAAGGAACACCTGAACTACTGAGAAAGGTAGTATTCCACAGAACGAAGTGCCCTGTCTTAGAAGAAAAATACCTTTGTGTATCACTGCACCCCAATCTCTAGTTGTCCAAGGGAAAGGGTGAGCCAGAAGATGCTAGTTGTCATATTGGCGTCAATTCAAAGTCATCATTAACATCAACAAGAGGAACATAAAACTCCTGAATTTCATAAATGATGATAGATCTGACCGTAGCAAAGCAGGATCGAGTTCTTGCAGTTCCCCCTGCCACTCCAGTCTCTGTACCGCATTTAAAGCCGCTGCTTCATGCTGCTGCCTCATCAAAAGGCACGTCTATTTTGAAATTGAGAAGGAAGTTATTTCAATATTTGAAAAAATAGTGCAATGAGCTTGAAAATAGAAAAAACATCTAGGAGCCTCTCTGGTGGTAGTAAGGTAAGCAATTTCCCCACTATGTATTTATAAATATGCAGATTATTCCATTACACTCTATAGCAACAAAGGTTAGTTCTTTATACTGCTAGACCCTCCTTTATGTTGCCCTCAAAACCTCTACAATAGCCTATGATATTGCATACAAATCTACTATTTATTAATCTATTTATTCATCTCATCTTTGTCGTGACATTAGAGGTTGTGGGTTTTTGTTGGTTTTTTTTGGGGGGGGGAGGGGGGTTGTTTTTTTAAAGTGGAAAAACAAAGCAACATACCTTTAATTTGTCAAACTTATCATCAACATCCTGTAACCAGGACATGAACTGTCTTGCATTAAAACGATCTCTCACCGATGTTTTGCTGTCATCAGCCTGCAAAGAAAAATTTATTCAATCTATTAGTTATTTGATGATTCAGTCTTAAATATACTTTAAAACATAAAACCTCTTTTGTGGGGCCTTCATAAACAATGCTTTAGATGGAAAAATAAAAAGAGTCAAAGTGTGAAGGTATACACGAGCATAAACATTG